TTTGTTGCACAAAATGTAACTTTCGTTTGTTCATGTAATAAATCTTCACTTGAGTTACGGAAGGTAAATCTATGTTTCGAAAGATACATAAATAATTCTGCGCTATTTTTCTGTATTTTAAATTTAAAATATTACCATTAACAAATTTACTCAAGGGATATAGAAAACAGAATATATTACTTTTATCGTCCATTTATAACTCCGTAAAAGAACCTTTCCACGAAAGCAGCCAACCTAAAATATTCGCAAATAAACTTAATTAAGGAAATGGCTTGAGCTAAAATGCGTTTATGCAGTTCCGTTTAAAAGCGAAAACATTTCAAGCTTTAAACAAGGATTTAAAATTAAAATTAATTTTTTGATTCTAAGTATAAAAGTTCGGCTTTTTATTTTCAAATTTCAATTGAAATAAATCAGGACGGAAATAAATTATCAATAAACCAATATAATACACAAAAGTAAAAGCGCATGTTTATTTTAATGAAGTCAGCAGATTTAATGAGATTTATCTGAAAATTATAATTACATAAAATAAAGCACACTTGAACTCTTCAGTGTTCATATGTTTGTCGCATCATTTCAAGCAAAAAAATATCTTTTAAATAATCAATAAAAATTAATTGCGGTTAAGTTATGTTTTACATATCCAAAATAAATATTCTTACGTTAATTATTTACTTGGATGAATGTTAAAAGTCAAGTATATTAAAACTAAACTCCCGTTAAGCTTATTGGCAAAGAAAAGAAAATACGTCATTCTTCTGTGCTCAGAACTAATATTTAATAATGCATTTCGTTTAAAAGAAGATAAACAATTCCAGCATAAATTCGAATGTAATTAACTTGAATCGAAATTTAATATATCTGAAATTTTCAGCAAAATATTTTCATGAAGTGATATTTGAAAATCCTTGCCATTGATCTCATTGATAAGTTGTAAAACTATGTTTACCTTTTTGCTAAAATAAAACATTTACTATTCACCAAATGGCGGCAGCATCGCAGATATGAGTTCATCAGACATTAAATTTGCAAATACATATTCGCATAAAGACTCAGGAATAGCTTTATTTTCATATTTCATAATTTTTAATTAAATAATATTTTTTTTTTTTTTTTTTTTTTTTCTGAAAAAGTTATAACGTTGCGCGCCTCCAACTTGCACGCAACCAAGGGTGACTGTGAAATTGTATAAACCACAGAGTCTTGTAAAGGTTAAGTCCCTTTTTATTCAACGTAATAATTCATTGCGTCCTCTTGACGCTTACAAACTGTGGCCAATTGGCAGTCAAAATAAAAATAATAACCTGAAAAGAAAGTAAAGACAATTCTAACTACGAGGCTCTCTAAAATAATACTCACCGCGTTTTACAATACCGCTGCTATTCAGCAGACTTGAAGCCTACTGGAACAATTTCCACTACTTCCCGCAAGCACATAGGCGCAACCGGGGTCTTCATTCTCGCTAACACCTCCGCGCTCGCTAAGTAAATATCACTCACACGAACTTGTTTCCTTCTATTTAATCAGAATACTTCCGCTGATTTGAATGCTTGCGCTTCTACTCAAATTTACATATTTGGCATGGCAGTTCCAGGGGAAAGTAAGGCTTGACAGGAAATAGTTTAAACTTAAAATAATGTTAGTTAAAAATAAATATAACCCTACAAAGTAAGAAGGAAATTTCAACATTAAAAATGAAAACGAGTAGAAAATGAATGCTACTTATAGCAGTTTAAAGAATTTTAACTTATATAATTAACTAATAAAGGTCAATAAATAATTAATTACTTTTATAAAGTTTTATTGATAAATTTTCATTTAAAAATCTAATCTAAAAAAGATTAGAAAAAGAAAGATGAGTAACTGAAATAGATTATGAAATTTCCTTTATTAATGATCAAATTGAAAAATTATTTTCTTTCACCTTTGTTAATATGATATCCTTTTAATGAAAATTAAATCTTGTATTCTTTCAGTCTATTCGTTTTCTTAAAGTGTCATTAACATTTTCATGTACAGCGTGCAGTTAGTCTTTTTTATGTCGATTTGTCAGTAATGGCGAAGCATGTCAGCTACATAATATTTAAGTATGTGATTTGGGTTCTATTAATTCCTATAAGTAACATTATTTTCTACACATTTTCAGTTTTTGAATGCATGAATTTCCTTTTTACTTTTTCAGCAAAAAATGTATTAGTTAATTCAGAAAGATGATACGCAGAAATAAAAATATCTCTTACGCTTACAAATAATACATGCGAATGTGCAGTTAGGATTTTCAAAGCCTGAAAAACGCCTGTTTGCGATATTATCGTCATGCGAGATTTTGTAGATGCTTTATTTCTACCACCATGCTTTCGACGACGAGCCTCGCAGACGGCATAGCGGTTAGAGGAGCTTACTGCGGTACTGGAGGAGCCGGGTTCGAAACCCGGAACATGCATGATTGTAACTGTTCGTCCCTTTAAAGGAGGCAACGGTGGCCGCTTATTAGGTCCTCCACAATAAAACGGCCACCATTTTGAATAAGCAAGTGTCCGCCAATGGAAAGAAAAATATCGACGAAGATGATTTTAAGTTGCGAAGTTTTCGAACCACTTTATTTTCAACGATGAAGTTTGTACCACTATGTTTTAGAACTGCGATGTTTTTTTTTCCTTTCTTTCTTTCTCTCATGACGCTTTGCACCGCGATGTTTTCGGTGGATACGCCCTTTATGTGCCAATTTTTCCTTTAGCAAAACATCATTCTTTAATAAATTCTTCAACTGAACGCTTGAAATTATTTATTAACAGTATCTCTGCAAATCCAGCGTCGAAAGAAACGGGGATTTTTTTAACTATTTGAAACATGATATGTGATTTACTGATCCAACATTTACTGGGATCGTATGAAAATTAGAATGAATTATTCCTAAGATATTTTCTATACTCAGAGTTGAAACGATGTCAATTATTTGTTTTCTTTATGAAACTGATTAATTGATTGCGCATACAGTATTTACGAAAGTAAAGCCTTTACCAACTTATTTTGAATAAAATATAAATCTACTCATCTATATTTTTAATAATCTTTATCTACCTGGGTGCAAATAATCAGAGTAGCTTTTGTAAATAATACCAGTTATACATAACATATAATTATCTATTTATATATACCGGTCTTTCAGCAGAAGGGTAGGAGAGTAGTTTGCCACATGCTTGAACTCAGAATAAAATCCCTAAGAAGCATGAATGTTTGTAAGTGTATCATTTTGCGCCATGGAGGACGCATTTAAAATTTTGCCAAGACGACGGAGGAACGAAGCAGCTACTCTGCCTCCACGGTCAAAACGATAGTCCTTTCGAGAGGTCTGGGAAGTGGGGTGAGGGACTTTATTATCCAAATCCTAGTGTTCCTTTCTAAAAGCTGAGACAGAGGTTTCCCCTTCCTGGCTGGTATACAGTCACTCCCTTGTTTACGTTTCTCGTGGCTATAGATGACCAAAGAATTTATCATAATTTTTGAAGAAATGTCAATCCATCAAGCGTTGAACAAATTATATATATATGTTATAATTATATATATTATTATATAAATTATATATATCCATCACGCTTTCTCAAAATAGACCTATACATACAAACTACATAAACATATAGATATTATATAAGTAAATAAATCCTGCAAATTATTTTTGATATTTTAAAATTTTTAGTTCTTTAAAAAACTTGTTTAACGATTAAAATCTGAAAAGGCCCCCAAAATTTAAAAATTAAATTTTATTGCCATAAAATGTTTTCAATATTCATAAAATGAACCTTTTTATATGTGAAAACAAATGTTACTTTTTCCATTTTGCTAAGAAAATCATATCAGGGGAAAATAGGAAGATACGTCAGTACTTTCGGTAAATAAGCTTTTAGAAAGCTTTAAACTACAATAATATATTTCTTAAAGTTATGTAAATATTAAAGCAAGTAAATTTATAAACGTAAGTAAATACGGGAATTTAGCTATTAAAAATTGCACAATAAGGCTCTTAAAAACAAAATTCAATACTACATAATGTCTTGCAAACAAAATTATTATAGTTTATTTGCTCTTATATACCATAATAAAATTTCTTACAGTGTTTCAAATGTCATAAGTTTAATGTTGCATTTTTCTGAAGATTAATTACTTTATTGGTAACTTTAGTATTATTAGAAAATACGTTTCTTTTGAAATTATGCATTTTGATGCATAATTTTTCTACCTCTCCTACGGGCGCATTAGTTGCATCAAAAGTGAATGCATGTACATTTACAGCAATAAATTAAGGGCAGTTATAGGTACGTTTTATTTTTTTTCTCTTAATCTTATTTAAACCGTAAAAACTTATTTTTCACGGTTGTATTTCTCACGGTTTTGTTAGATGATGAATGAGATTTTCTTTTATCTTGAAAAAAGAAGCGAAACTCATGAATCATGATTTTTTGAGTTTTGGTATTTCAAACAACTCAGCGTCAGAGTTTCTATAGTTTCAAATTATTTAGTGCATATGTAATTTCAAAAAATACTTCTGTTATTAAAATTTATTTCATTTTTTTATAATTCATACGGTATAAATAGAGTCATGTCAATATTTTATAACTGCAAAAGATTCATTTTTTTATATTTACATATTAAACGTATAAATAAATATACGTTTTCCATTAAAAATCTTAATTTGATTTCGACTCTTAAATTCTCATACCGCAAAGACACTCTTCTGTAACCCGTTTCAAGTGCCAAATTAAAATTTTAAAGTTTAGGTTAAATTTTATCTTTTGTTTCCAAGGATCTAGGGCAGAGTTTAGTTGCTTGCAGTCAAGGCTACCAACTCGGTATTTGGTAATTTCTTATTCAAATAGGATTATTAAGATAAGTAAAAGCTATAAAAATGACAGTTTAGCAAGCATAAGATGTAGTTATCAAGGATAAATATAGCTATTTAAATCATTTCAGATGCTAGATTTTTACAGGCTTTTAGATATCTTCGTTATGAAACAAGCAGATATGTGTTATTGCAATTTCAGAAAAGACCAAGAAAAGATTAAAATATGCATAAGAAATTGTTTTTGTTATTAGATAATGATTTATCCTCGTGTAAACGATGACACTGAGACTGATTTCAAGGTTCTTATTATATTGGTCAAGGTTTCGCCCTTTAATTGTAATTAGTTCACTAGTTCTGCTCTTTTTATTTCATTTTGTGTCTCAAGAAATTTTTAAACGAGTTCTAAATATACGAGAGGTTTAACGGATACGAAATTTCTCTGAGTTGACTGATTACTGTGTTCCTTTGACTAACATATGGGCTTACTTAACGCTTTGTACAGTCTGCCGACGCTTCTGTACTTGAATTACATCGGTTTTGGTTCATCAAAATGCGGGTAAGTAATTTAACATCAGTTTGTCTAATTACGTTAATATCAGCTATGAATAGATTAAGAAATCTTTGCGGATTTTTCTTATTCTATATACTTACTGTACATTGTCTCTGTGATACTAATCTGTTGTTAGTAGTTATTTTATTTATATTATACTAGATTTTAATGTTCAAAATGTGGTATTGTTTGTTTAATTTTCAGGTGTTGTTTAATTTAATGAATATTCCTTTTTAATTTTAATTTACGACTAGCTTTAATATACAAACTGGACATTTTGATGTTTCAAAATTTTTAGCCCAGAAGAGCTATTAATTTCGGTTTAGCATTTTGTATTTCGTTCGCTATAAAACGGCGTTCCTCTTTTCAAATAGTTGACACGAATATTAGAGCCCTGCATGATATTTCAAGAAATTAAATAATGAAGAATCTGCATTAATGTATGTTTTCCGCATTGTGAAGAAACAGCGGTACCTAGAAACATCAGATTTTAAATAATGTACTCCTTCACTCGAATATGATATCTGGAAGCCCAGATTTTGAATTTGGTTTATTATCTATTTCATATTTTGTAAAACTTCAACGAATTTTTGATTAACAAACTCAACGATTTCAAAGCGAACAACGAAAGCACTCTACGAAAAAATAATTATCCCCAGCGCGCGAGACAGTATGCCGGAAATTCTATAGATATGCTCTTTTAAATATTTTGCGATACTGTTGTTGAACTGAATTTTATGCTTTAAGTGCAAAGACCGTGATATTTAATAAATGAAGGAAATACACAAAACGTTAAAAAAAACGCCCTTTTGGGCGTAATATAAAATCTGAAAATCTTTCAGATTTTTTTTTTAATTTTTTCCTTTTTTATATAAAAACACTATATGCCATCTATCGATATGAAAATCAATTATATAATTATAATTATTTCTGCCTATGTTATTTAACGAAGTAAAGGTATTTAGCTATACGAATAACAAAGTTCATCCCGTAATGAAATAGTTAAACGTATTACCGAAAACTAAGCACCGACTGGAAAACGTAAAAAATCGAAGATATATACTTTGATGTAAATTAATTGATATATTTAAAATCTCAATACATTGCAGTTTCTAAGCAATATTTATAATATAAATACAAATGAATGCTCAATAGTACATTGCAATTTAAAAACTCAACACATTGCAGTTTCTAAGCAATATTTATAATATAAATACAAATGAATACAGTACATATGAATCTTAGGTAGGAAGAAGAGCTAAAATTGCATGTTTAGAAGAAAATTATGCAGTTTTTTGCATATAAATAAAAACAGTACTAAAATAAATGTGGTATGTAAGCGGATTGTTTTAATACCTGCGGATTTATAAAATTTAACAAACGTAACTAACTTCACAGCATTTTTTTAAGTCATGTAAAATATTTTCATTAGAAGTTAATATTTGTTTTTATTCCTTGCCTTGTAGCTATAGCGCGTTCCTCAAATTTTCCAAAATGTGTGAATGTGTCCATAATGTCTTTTTCAACTGAACTGAGATCTTCTATGAGTATGAGGATTTCAACTGTCATATGCTTTTATGGTGGATCTGGGTTTGAGACATCATCACCTTGATTACCGATATGCTCATTTTCCACCATACGTTGCTTGACACGTCAATCCAACAGCTGGCTGACGTCATCGCTATCACCTTCCAAACTTCAAAATCTGCTTTTGATCTAATTCTAATCCGATATGGTAAATTCCTGGTCTTGTAACTGTTTTGCTTTTGGAAACAAATGGAAACATTTTCTTCCAGACACTATCCAAGATATTATTCCAAAGATTCTCCAACGAATTTTACGGCATCTAAAAACCTGAAGTACGTCGAACATCTTCTAGAAACAAACAACGTATCGTTTGGTCTGATAAAATTATTTCTGGTGTAATAAATCTTGAGTGTTTTGATGAATCCTCGGTACATTAGTTGAAGAGAGCTGATTGCGTTTAGAATCAAAATACCAACTTTCACAAGTGAAATGGATCGAAAACCAATAAAGTTGCAGTAATAGGTCGTTATTAGTAAAATGGGAAATCTAAAAAAGGAGAATGAATATACTCATTAATCGTTAAAAATTAAAATATTATATCATTTACCAAGAAACTTGAATAACAACACATTTGAGAAACATTAACAAGATTAAAAATAATAATTATATTAGGTAGAACTTAAATACATTTTTGGTGTTTTTCGGCTTAGCCATCTGATAGCAATTATACAATTTATTTCGAATAAACGTAATAGTGCAAAATCTTCCTTTAAATCCGTATTCGCCCTCTCAATTCCACGTTCATAATCATGAATGCACGCAGAAAATATAAAATAAATAAACATGAGTAAAGAAAATCCCAAAATTTTCCTATAATTTTTGTATTGCTTCAAAATGCAGAAATAATCACTAACGCCCCTCTTGCGTGTGCAGGTTGCAGAAAAATTTTATCCATAATTTTATCTAAAATATAAAACTTCATTAGGCTCGGGTCTTCAGTTTGTTTGGAGAAATACACTCATCGCTACTTTAGCGTCTGCTACAATGAGGAATTTGTTATCCATTCTGTTTACATTGCATCGCCATCATTAATATCAGATAAAAAAGACTGGACGTAAACATTTTTCAATTTAACTTTATCACAATATTTTCATCATTTTGACCTTTAAAGAAACGCCGTTGTGTGTTTTCTAAATCTGGATGGCAACTTCTGAAGATGTTGAAGTGCCATTTAATCTCTCTAGCGTATCATTAGTAAATCGCGATAAATAACAAAACATCAGACAGCGAAACCTCATATCGCTTCAGCGTACAGTGTGATTTTCAATCAAGATCCAATAATCCTTCGCTTATTAGCTGAAAATTCTTCATCCCACTTTTGAAGCTTTCCCCAGCGCGAACAAACTGCTTCTTATGTGCAACTTGCAACTGGTTTTATAGGAAACAGAAAAACGTCTAGCATTTTCTAATTATCTAGGCTTTTGAGTTTTTCCAGTTACCAGAATCTAGAATGTTAATTTTCTTTCATTTGGAGTTAACGTTCTGATTCCCACTCTTGACAATTTTCCATTAATTATAATTTTATTCTTTGTTTTGGAGTCGTAATATTTTCCATGTCTCCGTGTCCAGACGCTAAAATATTCTCCGATTCTCCACAAACTTCCCACTTAAGAGAGTTTGCTGTTCTAACTTAGACATTTTGCCCCAAAAGGCAGTTTTTCGAAACTTGGGAAACATTCATCAACTTTTATTTGCAACTATTACCCAAGTACTGCTCGTAAGCGGCTAATATAAATCCTGAACCATTTCAGCAGTACTTCTTCAACATCTTTATTCTTGGGTCTTTCTCCATCTTTCGATTGCAATCAAAAATTTCAAAATACTTAACGCCAAGCTTTTTCCACGTGGTACGCTATGGATCCAAACACATCGCATATCTAACAGATTGCTACACCTATTTTTATTTTTTTTAATAATTATCATTTTATATACTTTTTTATTAACATAATTTGCACAGTTTCGATACGTTGAGTATTACTTATGGCTTGCCATCCGGATGAAATTTTAGTACAATAAAGTTTCACCGATACAAACAATAAAATATATACGCATAAAGAGCAAGGAAAAAATACTTCGTCCATCGAGAAAGAAATATTATTTTGTCATTAGACTGTCTGGCCAGAGTACAATCGTAACGCATTCCTCTGCTCTCCAAGATAAGATTATTCTATAACCTCAGCTTTCAACAACTGAGAGTTGCACCAGTTTTGTAGGGACTCACTTTTGGCTTAAAAGAAAGGTATATGACAACCGCTACACTAACCTACAGTTATTTACAGTTACTCATTTCTTTTAAGCACTGATGATTTAAAACGGAATCGTCCCATTCCTCAGCGCGCAGCTGTTCTTAAGTGTTTAGCACGTTCAGCTAGCAACTGAAAGATCAATGACTCGAATTCCAATGTATTAAGGCATAATGGATTTTGATGTTTCTCAGTTTCAAAACCTAATGAATCTCCTTTAAACTGAAATGAGGGTGGAATATAAATTTTTACATCTGTATTCATTTGACTGCAAGGGGTACAAGATCCAATCGACTAAATTGTGATAACTATATTGTATAACTGCTGATAGATTTAGCTCTATAAGTATGAAAGAATGAAAAGGATTATGACATTCTCCTGTTCTTTCTATCCTTATATAAGATGTACGCACGTCTTGATAATAACTAAAAGGTTCTTGATTCGAATCTCAAGAGGGCATAGTTGATTCTTCATGTCTCCTGAAAATGTCCCGCGGTATCTACTGATTTTAAAACTAGAAAGTTTTAAGTTAAAATTTGCAACTCTGAAAATAAGCAAATAAATGAATAAACATATAGTAGCTAAAAATTTTAGTATAACAATAAGTAGCTAAAAATATTTTTAAAAAATCTCATTTGGCTAGCACATGACCTTCTGCCATTTCCATAGTTTAAACAGCAATGAGCTTTGAGTAAATTATCACCTCCGGTTTTGTTTGTAAACAAAATCCAAGTTGTTGTCCCAATAAAAAGAAAGCTCTGTAATACGAAATTTCAGATTAACTTTTATTTGGTGTAACTGGCCATGTATAAAAACTGGTTTTACTAAGTTCACACCAGTATGATCAAATGTTTGCATCTTTATTTTGTTTCAAAGCAGTGTTTTATTCGTCATATAATTTAATTCATTTTCAATGAAAAAAAATAAGTTTTTATGATAAGTAATAATTATTTTTAAACGAATATCATAATTTAATTTTCTTCTATATTATTTCTACAGTATCAACAAAACTAATCTGCATGTAGTACATCTTCGCGATATTCGGATATCGGTAAAACGTTTTGTTCCACTACAATAATATGTTACAATTAATATATGCATTAAAGCGTTATGTTAATTGCTGCAAAACTGTTATGGGCTTCAAGCAAAGTACCACTTCCTGTTGGTCACCAAGTC